ACCTCAATATTGTTGACCCGATCAACGTGCATGATAGTCTAAGCCACGGCCTACCTGACTGCAGCATCGGCAGCAACAGAACTTCGCTATCCAAAATTCGCCCGTTAAAGGGTTAATCATCTCATGATAAGTCAGAAAGTAAATAGAGCTTACTCTGAATCATTGATTACCTAAATTCTTTATCAAACAACTTTCAATTAAATTCGTCCGCCACTATTGGTATTCACCTTTTATTTCCTCCATTTCTTCTCTCTTGATCGCTGATTGATTTTTATTTTGGCAACAATAAATTTGTATCAGAAAGAAAACTACAATCTTTTAAGTTATACAGAACAGGTTGACATGAACATGTCTTGTAGCTAAGGAGGCAAAAAAAGTGTAAAACATCTATAAAACTTGTCACAGTATTTTTTATAATGTTTGTTTTCTATTTTTAAATTTATAAATATTACTTAAGTTTAGTTTTGAATTTTGTGACCTTTGATACTTTTAAATCGTGATTTTATTCCCACAAATTATGTTCATCTAAACGTTTCGATGCTTTACATCTTCATCAGTAGACACGATAAATACAGAATCGTACTAATAGCTTATATCAATTTAGTTTTGAAGGATTTTTTCGTAAGTACAGTAACTACAGTATCGGCTAGACTATTCCAATCACGAGTAGTCCTATAAAATGTGTTTAATACGTACAAAATAGTCACGATACATTTTTATTTTAACTAAGTTTGTAAAATTAGACACGTGGAAGAAATGCAATGCCGACTAAGATTGTTTTTTCTACTGACTTTTGTTTTACGTCATAATAATTGTAAATTTTGAAAATATAGCATGGCACTCTTCAACAAAGAGATAATATTAGAAATCTTTAGTCTCGGTCATAGAGTATTCATTGCCATATTGTATTACTCAACAATCATTCATCCATTTTTGAAAAAAGAAATGTAACTAAACTCAATTAATTGGCATTAAAATTATATCCAGCTCACATAGAATATATATGTATTAGTAATAACCTGGTGTTTTCAATTTTATCGTCTATATTAAAACGAAATATGAGACAGATCGTCTACATACATATTGTATAGTTTATATACAGTTTTCTAATTTATTGCATGTTTAGTTACCGTGAAAAGACGAGAAAGAATAATGTACTTTTTTTATTCATCTTAATCAATTGATTAGTATATGCGTGTGAAGAAAATTAAATTAATAAAGTTAAAATACAGGAAAAGAGTTTATTTCATTTCGTGACACGGTTTATATATCAACGTGGCAGTAAAACATTTATATTATTTTCTCGCGCGTTTAATCAATAAAAATAATTATATTACAATATTACAATTATGTGTAAAAAGCATACGTACACTACCATATATTTTTCCATTCTATTTATATTTTGTAAGTCAATAATTTTATTTTTATACTTTGTTTTTTTTTTTTTGTCGAATTCGTAAAAGACGGTATAACATAATAATCAAAAAAAACCTTTGAAAAAAAAAATGTCAAGTTTAGAAATTTGCTCACTACAGGATGACAAAGGAGAGAGAGAGAGAGAGAGAAAGAAAAATAAAAAAATAATTTTTTTTTCACATGTGATACATATACATCAAGAGACTGAGAAGTTGTTCATTCTCGCTCTATAATTTTAGAAAATGTAAAACGTAACACATCGTGGTATATAATCATTAAAGTGAAATGATCGACATTATGATGAAGAGGTAATATGTTACATTAATAACATGGTCGACAAAAGAGAGAGAGAGAGAGAGAGAAGTAAACTTTTATATATAACCATCCGTGACGTGGTGTTCAATAAGCAGCTAGAAGAAAAAAGATAGCAAAAAATTCTTGCTTATTTTTAAAAATCTTCATTTAAAATAAATATAGATTTGCTGTTTATTTTCAAAATGGAAAATTCTTGACTATAAAAATAAATATAAGCGATTTTTTACCATTAAGGTGAGTTAATATGTCCACATACATGTGCTTCAGACGTTGGTTACCTCATTCTGTCTGAATCTTGTACATGACACTTCTTAAAATAATTTTAAATTATTGTGCAATTGATGGTATAGAACATCATAGAATAATAAACGATCAGTTGACATTTTGATATGACAGACTGCTAAAGACGGGTCTGACAGTCTAATAAAATCATTTAAAATCTACGATGAATGACTAGTTGTATTATATGTTTATAGTAGGTGTTTGTGTTTTTTCATAAACTTAATGAAATAGTTCAGTTTTCTTGATTGAAGAATATAGATTCATACAGATATCGTTGATGATGAGACGTTTATTATCCGTCTTAGTTAAAGTGCCACTAATTTTGCTCACCATATTTTTTGATTTTTTCAATACTACAAAGCGCTTTTATTGTCAATGACATTGGTGGCGCTAATGTATCATTGTGAAAAAAATGAATGCTCCTCTTGCCAATAATACTAAAATATACACAAGGGTTCATTTTTCCAAGAAAAGAATATAAATGCATCAGATGAGAAAACATCAATGCGCTGTCAAAAATAAAAACATTTGCTGCCTTTATTTTTTATCATCGTAAATGAATAAATTGTTAGTCTGAGATCTTAGATACAATTTTTAAATATATTAATTAATTACTTTTTCTTCGTACTAGTTCTTTATGTGGTGTAAAAACATCTCTGATATCGTTCAAAAATTTCGAAATAAAAGACAAAATGTTATTCACTGAAGAAGATTGAAGTATCAATCGAAACGTTTGGAATAAATAAAGAAATAGTATGAAGAAAAAGTAATTAATTAATATATTAAAAAATTGCATCTAACTTCGTAATCATATCGAATTTCAAAAAATGATCTTAGATACAACTTTAATCCCAATCTACATATCATCGCCGATTTTATTATTTCTTTTTAGCAATCGACATTCATATCATTTTCACAAAATGCCAAGCGATAATCCTAACACCATTTTACAACTTAATAAATCAAAAACTCAACACGTTCAACCATCAGCACCCATGATATCTCATTCACATATTTCATCGTCTACTTTGCCTCAACAACCTGCATCACCAACGATAAAAACATTATCTCGTGCACGTACAATATCCAGTACTGACTCGGGAGAAACAGATTCAGTAACCGATCTCCATAAACCACTGAAGTTGACTAACAGTGCCATAATAAAACCGGACAATAGACGAAATAGTGATTTAAATAAAACGCATCTACATGGAAAATATTCTTTACAATTAAGTGATGAACGACGAAATTCAACGCCAGCATTACATTTATCAACATTATCTTCGTTACATTTTTCAACACTATTTAAGAAAAAACATAAACAACAAAAGTGAGTAACATCTGTTGTATCGTATTGTTTTAAATACGATTTCTTAGTCAAGGTAAAGGATAAGTTTTAAGGTACTTTTTCTTTCAATTTTCATCTTATTTTTCAATAGTAGATGTAAAGTTTCTAATGAGTAGCATGTGGGATCCCGTTTCGTGGTACGGTACGATACGATATGATACAATTTTTTATGTCTTTGAGACGGAATCTTAGTATATAATGAAGAGGAAGAAGAGAAACAAAAATACAGTTTCAAAAAAATAATTATATCGACATCTTCAGAATAGATGAACAATTTTAAGTGTCAGTATAAAATAATCATATTATTTTATTATGAAGAACAATATTCTAAATTCTAGTTTTTATTTTCGTTTTTGACTTTTCCTTTTAATAAAAAAAAATCACAGAAAAGACTAATGCTTAATAATCAAACCCTATAGCTCAGGAAGGAACAGCTAAACACAAAAAACAAAAAATTAAGGTCTGAAGATGTTTTCTCGGAAATTTATGGGAAAATTTTGAGCTTGATTGAATGAACTTCTTAGAAGATCATAACAGACACTAGTTGAAACTTTTAGTGTTGTGACTATTACATATAACATTACATAGGCCGCTTTTTCCGGACATTTGTGATGATACTCATATTGCCGTGAAATGCTAGTGGAAAATTTTAGGAGATCTCTCATTGTGAAGAAGCGATATTCGACTATATATAAAAAATATTTTTGAAATTAGTTGAAAACGAGAGAAAAGTTTATCTAACTAAAAAGTTGAGTTTTTAAATAAAACCCACTTTTCTTAAAAGTTTAATTTTTTCAGAAGTTATAGAGGAAAATTAGCTCTATCGAGAATCGATTTCAAACTTTTAGGCAGAATTTATTTTGCGTACTTTTTCAACATTTTTTTTGAAAGAATATTCGCAGAAAAAAAGCGAAGCGACACCTTTCGTATGAATTTTGCAAATGTTGTCTGTCGGACGCTATCAGGGAATGTCTCTTCAAAATTTCTCAACTCTTCTCAAGTTTCTTATTTTGTAGCCTAGACTATCCTCTATATCACACTATATTCAAATCGAAAATTTTTGCGAACAGGATGGAGTTACCATTAAATTTATGAAACTTCTTTTAAATGTCTTGAAGTCAATCATTGCTTTTGAACACGTCAATTTGTTTTAATAAATAGAATTTTCCCCTACTAGATCAACTTCGTACTGTCATTTTATGAATCAAGAAAATTATAATTGTTTGTATAGAAAAGTAGATGTTCTAATTTAAAGAACAGCAAGTAAGCGTTTTAAACAGAAGACAGATTTAATTATTCTTTTAACATTCTCAACACGTTTTGCTCTTCTTCTTCTTATCAGTTATTATTTTTCTCCTATATCATGCGTCGTTAAATATATAGTATCATCATCGTTTAACTTTATTTTGAATAAATATGGAAAGTAAGAGCTATTTATTTTTATGCACCTCTGTTGTCTTGTCATATAAGTTCTCACATTGATAAAAAAGAAAAAACGTCTATTCGTTCAAATAATAAGAAGTATTATATATTCTTTTATATTATCTATTATATATCTTTTAGTTAATTAACTAAATCTACATAAGCAAAGTAGTTGAATAGATAAGCCTAAATATACTTAATGAATGATGCACATCTATTTGTGTAAAACACTGAGTATTTTCTTTGAGCAACTTTTTCGTTTTCGTTTTCCTAGTTTACAATAATTTGAATTAATGACTGTATATTTTTTTGGATCTAACAGCGAAAATATCTTTTGGTCAAACGGAAGGTTAATGTGAGAAAGTAGCTTAAAGTATTTTAATGGCCTGCAAACATATAATAAACTACTCACTAAGCTTTCCTCGATAAATTGTGTGTAATAGTACACAGATTTTGTTTGCCTCTATTCCAAACCATATGAAGCGACACTCTTACCTGAGCACGACTGACTAGACGTAGACGTGGCCAATATAAATTGACAAAATTTTTAACAATAATAACTAAATTTGTTAAATTAAGTGGGTGCGAACAACAAAGATTAATAAAAAGCGTTAAGTTACTCAAATTGAAAAGATAATTTTCTGCAATAACAGTAGCTTAGAAGTCAAATGAAATGGATGACCGAAAACAGCGAAAAGAAGAGAGAAAGAGAGAGAGAGATAATAAATAAACATAAATATATTGTCTGAGCTTTGAGATTTATCCGATTTGAGTCAAACGATAGTATACAAGCGGAATTAGACTTTTAGTAACTCTAATGATTACTTTCTCTAACGGTAGATAATTTATTTTATCTCTCGCTTAAACTTTGATTGTATAACACACGGAGTATAGTAAAATATAATGAAAATGATGCTACAGCAGGGAGTCTCTTGAAAACTAGTAAGACTCACATTTTTTTCGCTCGAAAGTAGTATGAGTTTAAGAAAAATTTTCATTCTAATAATACAGAATATTTTTTACAGACGCTTTTCTTTTTTGAATACCGCTCATATAATAATTTTTTGCTTTATTTTTAGTGCTCATTTGTCTACTATTACATTCTTTAAAAAAAATTATCTTACCAAATCTTAAATCAAAAAAAAGCCAGTAGTATAAGACACATCAAACCAGTAAAAATAAGTTAAAAAACTTCGGCTAAACGTGTACTAATATTCGCAGATCTTTAACTTATCGAGTCTCTAGATTATAACTGATCATGCATTCATGATGGATAATTGTTTTATTTTGTTTCAGAGAAACGGACAGTTTTTATAGTACGATGCAACAGTCCAACAAATATGAACCAGTAAGTAACATTAACTCTTCTAATTATACTAGTAATTCTATATGTGCGTGATATTGTGCTTGCAGGAAAGGGATGCGTCTTCTGAGAATTGAAATCAGTACATAGGTTCATAAAAAATGTATCAGAAATTTATAATTTCTATGTATTTAACAGAATTTATCGGGTGGCCCAGATAAAATCGGACACTTTCATTCGTTGTTCATGAGACATTATCCGGTAGTCCACAGAGTTGGTTCTAAGCTCAATCGATAGAGAATTGAATTCTCTACAAAACTTGCTATTTGAACCTCTGATAACAGTTTTGCCGTCTGTGCACTATTCATAATATTGAAGAGTGCTGAGTTGCCTAACTACGACACACTTAAAATAGAAAAATATTTGTCTTGATCCAAAAAACAGATTTCATAAGAATTTTGAAAACACCAGAAGATTTACCGGAAAATTCTGCATCTTCTCACATATTTTTCGAAATTTTACAGTTAAGTCTTCAAAGAAAATTTGTCTGTGCAAAAAACTGA